TGCAGGCCCCTCCTCAAAAAGCCATCCCTGGCACACTCCTGCACCGGGGACATTACTCTCCACTGGCCCCGCGCCGGTCCCTGTCACCGCAGCCAGCTTGCTGTATCACCTTCACCTGTGTGCTGCTCTGCCCCCCTCACTTCTGGAAGGTGAGCCCTTCCAGAAGAACTCCAGGGTTCACAGATGCCGTGCCCCAGCCCGGGGGAAGCCACGCGATGGCGGTGGGGGAAGAGATGGAGGAGCTGGAAAGAAGGTTGCAGAAGCCTGTAGACTTCATTCTGCAGATGCGAGAAGCCATCCACATCACCTGTGTCTGAGCAGGGCAGTGACTCAGGCCCGTGTGGGGTTTTTGAGAGGGAGGCGGGCCTCTACTATCTAGGGGCTGCCCAGCGTCCGGCCTCCCCCGTGAGTAGTCTCCACTCGGGAGGGCTCCCACTGTGCGCCAGGCTGGCAGGTGTGCAGCGGCCTTTCCCACGGAAGCCCCGCCTCCTCCTCCTCCGGGACCTCCCTCCTGGGGTGGGCACCAGGGGGACCAGAAGGGAGCGCTCGCAGGCCACGTGCCCACGGCCAGGAGGCGGCACCAACACAGAGACCGCCCACCCGGCACCATAAGGACGGGCCCCTCCCCCGACCTGTGATAGCATTCACCATTTATTGAGCACCTATCCCGTGCCAGGCTCCATTTCTTTGCTCCTCGAAAACACTCTTCACCCAGGTACATTCATCAGCCGTCCCTTACTTCACACAAGTCCCTGCCCATCCATCCTGTCCCTTCATGGCACTCCACGCACATCTTTCTTTAGCTCCCTAGCATTTATTGCCGCTCTCTCCAACTGTATATGATGTGATTTCTTTGTTGACTTATTTTTATCCATTTTCCTGGCTGCCCTGTTAGGCCCATGAGGGAGGTATCTGTCTCTTTGCCGCTGCATTTCCGAGAAAGATGGCTGGTAAATAATCCGCCCTAGGCAGATGATTGTGGGATAAATGAATGATCGAATGGGTCTCATTTACCCCTCGTAACCACTCATTTTCCAGAAGAGAAAACTGAGATGTTGAGAGGTTCGGTCATTTGCCCAGCAACTAGCTGAGTGTCTGGCTCATGGTGAGTACTTCATAAAACTTACCTGCCAAGTCCCTTTCTGTCTTCCTCCCACTGCTAGGCACTAAGTCCATTCACTCCAGGTCAGTGATTCAGTGCTTAACTCGGGGCGGGGGACCGGCCATGTTGGATAGGTCTGGAGCACCCTGACTGGGAGGAGTCGGAGCATGGGCATCTGAGCCAGAGAAGCAGCTCCTCCTGCTGCCAAAGTCCCGTTAACTGCTCAGGTGGCAAACCCAAAGTCCAGTTTGCAAATTTGGGGCAGAACCCAAAAAGTGCAAAAAGACTGTCCGTCCCATAGATGGGGAGACTGAATCCCAGAGCAGGTACTAGAGGCTCCCAAGGCATGGCCAGTCAGGGGAAGAGTCAGATGTGAAGAGCTGCCAAGGCTGCTGGGGCAGACCCAGCCTTGAGCCTCGGCTCAGCCACTTGCTGTGTGATCTTAGGAAAATAACTAACCTCCCTCAGCCTCAGTTTCCTCCTCTGTAAAATGGGGAGGATAATAGTGCTACCTCTGAGTCATATGAAATCATGTATGTAAAGCATATAGCAGATATATCATGCACTCAACATATGACAGGTATTTGATGATGATGATAATGACGATGATGATGACGATGACAATGATCATGACATATATTGGAACCCAGCCTTTAGGACCAAAGGGAATCTGAAAGGTCATCTACACCAGTGGTATTCAAACTTCATCCACCAGAATGACTTGGTTACAAACACAGTTGCCCAGTTCCCCTCCAGATCAAGCAGAGCTTCCGGGCAGAGGTGGGAGTCCTTTTTCTGCGACTAAGAAGTTCCCCAGGTGCCGCCCATGTCTGGCTTCATTGGAGCAGAGTCTGCTGAGGATCCAAATGCTAGTACAGTGTCCAGACCCATGGGCTGCCAGGCAGGAGTCAGACTGAGTCGGCGTCTGACAAACCTACTCTGGAATTCTGGGTAAGCCCATTTCCCTCTCTGAGATCCATCCTTCCCATCTGTACCTTTGAGGGGTTTGGACGAGGTCCAGTGCCTCGTCCAGAAGCAAGCATGAGACCTGAGACCTGGCTTGCCGTGAGAAGTCTGGTGGTTCTGTTAGTGAGACTCCGGGTCCACACAGGGAGCATGTGGAGATGGACAACAGTCACCATCTTTGCTCGCTGCTTTGGAGAAGCCAGTTGGCAGGCTCCCCGTTTCAAATCCCATCTCGGTGTGTGACCCTGAGTGAGTGACTTAGCCCTGAAGCTCCGTTTTCTCATCTTGAAAGTAGAGATGTCCATCCTCATGGTATGAGGTCTCTGAGAAGTCACTTTGGCAATGCTTCTGGAGGTAGTGGGCCGCCTTAGATATATCCGAGTGCTCCGGCCACACAGGGCCCGGCTGATCGCCGGCCGCCTGACCACAGGCTCTTGGTCACCTTGGGAGGATGGTGCTTATCACAGTTCCACCCCCAAGGTCTTCCTCAGGATAATCTGTCCCGGGTGATTCATCTCGTGGGCTGGGCCCTTCCTCTCGGGCCTGAAATATCTCCCTCCCTTCAGCATTCCTGGGTCAGGCCTGTGACCCCTGCCATGTGGCTTCCTCTGAGGACTGGCCCTGGGCCCCTGCCTGCCTGCCAGCCCCCCAGTCCCTGGCTCGTGACCCATTCTGGGCCTGACATATCAGGCAGGGCTCAGCTAGGGAGGAGGAAGCCCACAGCTTGTTGTGCTGGGGAAAAAGTGCATCCCCGCGTCCGGCCCTCCCCCGGCCCAGCCACACCTCTGCCTTCACAGGCTGGGCTTCCGCCGCACTTCCTGGCACAAGCTGACCCGTTTACCGCCTGGCTTCTGCATGGTGCCCTGCCCCCTCGGTACACACAATCCCAGCGAGGGTTCTGGGCTGGCCAGAGCAGTGGGGTTGGCCAGCACGCCTCACAACTTTATGTCTGCAGCCAAAGACAGTTCTTTGGAGAAAGTGAAGAGATGAGGACACACATCCCAGCTCCACTGTGGACTCTCTGTATGACTTTGGGCAAGTGACTCTACCTCTCTGGATCTTAGTTTACCTAATTTTACATAGAGAGAAAAATACCTCCATCTCCAGTTGTTGTGGGCATTAAATAAGATAATATGGTCTTACTGATGTCTGTGCTTCACCTCCAACCAATTAGATCAGAATCTGAGGGGTAGGTCCCAGGCATTGGACACAGCCAGGGATGGAAACCACTGGCGTGGAAAAATTATTAAGAGCCAAAGCTTTTGGAGGAGACCAGCATGAATTTGGGTTCTAGCCATGTTATATAATTATGGACACTTGAATAGATTATTAGCCTCTCAGAACCTCTTTTCTTTGTTCATAAGATTGAGGTAACAGTACTTACTTCCCAGTGCTGTTACGAGAACTAAAAGGAATAATACATATCACGTACTTTGCACATGTGAGCCCACCATGTGAGGACAACCCCTTGTCACTTCACCACTGTACCCACTACAGCTGGCTCTGTGCCAGAACCACATTTGGCAATTCAAACAAACATGAAAACGAGTAAGCGTTATCACCATAGGTTATCCCTTATTGTGACCTGTCAGAATGGATACAATTAAAAACAAGGAAACAACAGATGTTGGTGAGGATGGGGAGTAAGGGGAGCTCTCTTGCACTGTTGGTGGGAATGCAAACTGGCGTGGCCACTCTGGAGAACAGTGTGGAGGTTCCACAAAAAGTTAAAAATAGAACTACCATATGACCCAACAATGGCACTACTAGGCATTTGCCCCAAGGATACAAAAATACAGATTTGAAGGATCACATGCACTCCAATGTTTATAGCAGCATTATCAACAATAGCCAAACTAGGGAGAGAGCCCAAAGGTCCATGGGCTGATGCTTGGATAAAGAAGATGTGGTATATGTATTAATGGAACATTACTCAGCCATCAAAAGGAATGAAATCTTGCCATTTGCAACAACGTGGTTGGACCTAGGGTGTATTATGCTAAGTGAAATAAGTCAGTCAGAGAAAGACAAATACCATATGATTTCACTCATATGTGGAATTTAATAAAATAAAACACATGGACAAAGTGGAGGGAAAGAGAGGCAAACCATAAAACACACTCTTAACGATAGAGAACAAACTGAGGGCTGATGGAGGGGCTAAATGGGTGATGAGTATTAAGAAGGGCACTTGTGATGAGCACTAAGTATTATATGGAAGTGCTGCATCACTAAATTCTGCTCCTGAAACCAATATTATACTGTATGTTACATAGAATTTCAAGAAACACTTGAAACAAAAAAGAAACAAAAAATAAAATAAGAAGCATCAAAGAGCTTTATCATGAGACAAAGCTCTGTCTTTTGACAGACTTAAAAATGTACAGATCCTGGCATCTGTTGCCGCTAGGAGTGACCATGGCTCTGTGGTGGCCACTGAGATGTAGGTGGAAGTCACAGGTTCTACGTCCCTTGTGTTTCCCCCTCTTCGTGGTCCTTGGGCTGCCATCTTGAACAGCAGAATGGAAAACAAGAAGGATCCTGGGACTCGCTGGCCTGGGTAGGCTGTCCTTTCAGGCCAGAATGCAATTCGCTTTTTCCCCAGGTGAGAAGAAGATAGACTTCTTGTTGTTTAGGCCTCTGGTTGGGGAACCTTTGTTTCTTTTTCTTTTTTTTTTATGTTTATTTATTATTGAGACAAAAAGAAACAGAGCACGAATGGGGGAGGGGCAGAGAGAGAGGGAGACACAGAATCTGAAGCAGGCTCCAGGCTCTGAGCTGTCAGCACAGAGCCTGATGCAGGGCTGGAACCCACAAACTGTGAGATCATGACCTGAGCCGAAGTCAGATGCTTAGAAATCTTTGTTTCTAATAGAAGGAAAATAGATGCTTTGGGCTGCCTCACTGTTCTACTGTCTTTTTTAAATTTTCTTTTAACATGGAACATTTCACAAATTTGTGTATCATCCTTGCATAAGGGCCACGCTAATTTCTGTTCTGTTCCAACCTTAGCATATGTGCCCCCAGAGCAAACACAGTCATTTTTCTACTTTCCGTCCATAATTATCAGATTCCAGAATAATCTATGCCAAGAAGACCCACTAAGAGGGTCGAGGACTTCCTGACACCACAGAAAGCCTGCCCAGTCCTGAATCTGATTCCTTGGAGTGGAGTTAGCCATGGGTCCTATCCAGGCTCCTCTGGCCTCCTCAGAAGGTTAAGGAAAAGGGGGTGCCCCCCTCCTTCCCCTTAAAACTAAAAGCTCGTGGCTCCCATTGCTCCTCTGAGCACTGTCTCAGAGTAACGTGAATATAGATGAGAAGCTTGACTCTCGCACTGATTTGCCATGGGCAAAGTGTCTTTGAACAAGCCTGATTTCACATTTGTTAGTGAGGCTGTGTCAACCAAGAGATACATTTAGACAGGGAACTCAGAGGGAAAGGGCAAAGTATCAGGCCCAGAGGTAAGCAGTGCTTCTAAATAAACCCAGAACTAGGTCTAAACACCAAAGGGAAGGGAGGTGGCAGAGTAAATGTGATGATCACAGACCTTGGCATTATAAAAACAATGGCCCAGCAGCAGAATGTTGGGCGTGGGCAGGGAAGAGAGGGTGAGGGACTTACTTTTCTCATCCTTCACAGTAGGGAAAAATAGAGCAGAGTGAAATGTGCAATTTAAAAAAATACACGACCCCCAACTTCTTAATATTCTTCATAATCTTGGGGGGTCTCATAGGAAATAATATCTGATATGGTAACGAGTGAAGTTAGCAACTGCTTTTATTTCAATTAAATTCTTTTTCTTTTGTTAAATTCAAATATCAGTAAGCTCCATGTTTTATTTTAAAATTTAGCATACAGGATAAGAAATAGGTGTGCTGTGAAGAAGCATCATGAACAAATGGAAAAGAGATGGATGATTTGTTCAACAAAGATTTTTGGAAAATTACTTATTGAAGAAAAACTAAGTATGTTATTTATATCATACTAATGGGTTTAATAAAGACTTTAGTGTAAACAGTAAAACTCTAAAATACTAGGTGAAAACAGATGTGCGTGAAGGTAAAAAGGAATTTTCTAAGATGAGATAAAGGCAATGAAAGAGATCACAAAGGGAAAAAATGATGTAATGAAGTTACAATTTCTGTACGTTATAAAAAGCAAACACAAAAGTATACACAAAATATAAAAGTACATATTCAGTTGGATAAAAATAATTTTGACAAGAGGTAGCTATCCTTAATACATGATAAAAGGCTCTAAAAATCACTATTACTCTAATAAAGAACATGGATAGAAAATTCATGATTGAAAAAAACATTAATTACAACAAATATAAAAAATTACCAAACTCGTGGCTTGAGAAATAGGCAATAGAGACACAATAAAATACTATTTATAATCTGTACATTTGACCAAATATACTTTAAATGTTAATTTTCAATACTCACTAAAACAGGTATTCATGAGGGGCACCTGTGTGGCCACTAAGCATTTGACTCTTAAATCTGGCTCAGGTCATGATCACAGGGTCATGAGATCAAGCTCCACATTGGGCTCCCTCCTCTCCCCCACCCCATGTGCCTCCACCCTCACTCTCTAAAATAAAAACAAAACAGGGGCGCCTGGGTGGCTTAGTCGGTTAAGCGTCCGACTTTCATTTAGGTCATGATCTCGCGGTTCGTGGGTTCGAGCCCCGCGTCAGGCTCTGTGCTGACTGCCAGCTCAGAGCCTGGAGCCTGTTTCAGTCTGTGACTCCCTCTCTCTCTGACCCTCCCCTGCTCACGCTGTCTCTCTCTATCTTTCCTAGAAATAAATAAAACATTAAAAAAATAAAAAATATAAAAAAACAAAACAACAACAAAATAAAAACAAAACAGAAAACAGGCCCTCCTGCATTATTTGTGAGGTTATACATTTATATTAATTTTAGGAAAACAAACTGACAATTATCTCAAAAATATTCATAGTCCTTAAGTGTGAGTCATCCTACTTCTACAGAAATAATCAGAGATAGGTTCACAGAGGTATATGCAAAGATGTTTGTTGCAATGTTTTTTGTAACGGTGAAAATTAGCAATAATTAAAATGTCCAACTGTAGGTAAATAAGAAAATAAATTATGATCTATAATTCGTGAATTCATGGAATATTATGCAGCCATTATAATGCTGCCTCCAAAGCTATCCTTGCCCCAAGCCAACTTTCTGAAGGATGGGAACGGGACTGACACGCTGCGCAGCCTCGTTCTGAGACGTCTTGGGCAGGAGTGCAGGGCGAGCGGACGGTTCTTGCTGGCTGAGGGGCTGTGCCCACCTTAAGGAGAGGAAACGGGTTCAGTGCCTCTACGAGATGTGCTCGAAGTCGAACAACTAGAGCGAAGCAAAGGGCCAGGTCTTCTAAACTGGGCCCCGTTTAGTCTTGTGTGCTTCTGGAGGATGCTGGGCCAGGGATCTCCTGTGTCCACACTCGCTCGACACACAGACGGCTCTTACCACGTGCTCACTGGCTTCCTAATCCTCCACGTAGCCCCCAGGAGCGCGGGATTTTCAGCGGCTTCATTTTGCAGATAGACTGCGACTCAGAGGGGAGAGGTGCCCCAAGGTCATCCATTTGCGACATGATGCCAAGTCCGCCGAACCCCAAAATTGTCCCTCAGTCCGCGAGGTCACCACGATGTCCTAAATCCTGGGAGACGCTTTCGGGGTCACGTGGGACCAATTTCCCCAGAGCGGTCAGGTAAGTGAGGAGTTGGCAGGTGCAGTGAGTCGAGGGGGTGGGGGGAACTTCGTAGGTGACTGAAGAAGGGAACGAGGTGTGCCAAGTGGGGATGAGCTGTGCGCGACACAACCAGAGGGGAACCTGGCTGGACCCAGAGAACGGCCGTGTGACTAAACACCGCCAAGGTGAGAAGTTTCGAGATTCCAGGGGTGCACGTGTGAGCTGAGCGGGAGCCGAGCGGAGCCGGCTGGGGCTGACTGGTGCCGGGTGCGAGAGTGTGCAGAGGTGAGGCTGCCCCGGAAATCCTGTAGCAAGCACATCGCCTCTCCACCCCTCCTTTCCAAGACCAAGGGGAAAGCCTTGCACTCCAGTTTCCTGAGCCTGCGAAGTAACTTCAGAGAGACTCTCCTCCTTTGGTGGCCTCAGTTTCCCCATTTGTACAGTTAGGGTAATGGAGGGAGGCAGAAGAAGCTGGTGTGCGCAGCCTTTCTTAAGCCCTCACGCACGCCCTCAGGGGTGATACCGACTTTTCATATTTTCCAGTGGGATTGAATGTTCCCTCTCTTATTGGGGTTCGTCCTGGGGAATGTCACTTGAAAGACCGTTTTCTTGGAGCTATAATTAAGCCTCATTTTCCTGGCGTGCGGTAGATGCTATAACCTGAAGGTCCAGAGGGTACGTGTGTGACATGGCTAACACACAGTTAAGCCTTGCCTGGTCCCCCAAAGCCCTGCATATTTCCACAAAACAAGCAGAAGCTGTCTGCGGCTGAGCAGTGAAGGAGTCACAGATGGCCTTTGCTCTCAGCAGGGCAACCTCACTGAGCCTCCTTGTTTCCATCTGTAAGGTTAGGAGACTGATGCCTGCTGGTCAGGCTTGTGAAAAGCCAGAGCGAATCCCTTATTCTCAAAAAGGTGTTTTGGGGGATGGATGGGGTAGGGGATCTGCATTTTGACAGTATTATCATGTCGTCTTTATATTGTGAAATACGCCCCTTTCATTTTTTAATAAAAACTCTTCCAGTTCTAAGCAGTGTGGATAGAGACGTAAGCAAATCAGCCAATAATCCCTGCTTATATTCTGGTAGAAGGCAGCTATTCCTATGATCTGGCCCAAGAATTCAGATAGTAAGCATTGTCTTGGACATGCCAACCCTATAGACACCTGACACCTTCTTAATTTTTTTAACGTTTATTTATCATTGAAAGGCAGACAGACAGAGAGAGAGAGAGAGAAAGAGAGAGAGAGAGAGAGAGAGAGAGAATGAGCAGGGAAGGGGCAGAGAGAGACACACAGAATCCGAAGCAGGCTCCAGGCTCTGAGCTATCAGCACAGAGCCTGACTCAGAGCTAGAACTTACAGACTGTGAGATCATGACCTGAGCCCAAGTTGGATGCTCAACCTACTGAGCCACCCAGGTGCCCCTACACCTGACACCTTCCTGAAGCCCATGCCTAGATGCCTACAGCTGAATTGTTCTAAAACACACATCTGATCACATCACTGAGGTGCTAACAGCCCTTCAGTGCCTGTGAAATACAGGCTTCCTTCAGGAGCTGGCCCCAGCCTATTTCTCCACTTGCATCTCCCTTCCCTCCCTAAATTTTCAGGAACACCTGTCTACTCACCCCTCCCAGAGTCTATCAACTCCTTCATACCTCTGCTCTATGTCGTTTTTTCTTTTCCTCGTTTAGACGTGCTGATCTCAATACTGACACAAGATGGCGCCGAAACTGTATTCAAAGCTTTCACCAGTAGCCAACTGAGTCCTGGCTACCCATAAACTGGCTTGGTTGTCAGAACTTTTAGAAAGGCCTTCAACAACTTGTTATATAAACTTAGGTTACGTATTTTTAGTACAACTCTCGGTGAATTTATGTATCTAAAGAATGTTCCAGATAGAAACGGGAAGGAGTAACGAAGCTTCCCTCCCCAGTATTCGGTACCACGCCTGTCCTTGGACAGCAAGCCCCATAGTGGTACTCAGAAGCTAGTTCAGGGTCTGAATTCACTCACTGCTTCTTTGTAGAGCCTTGTTGCCTGGATGCTTCAGGGACCTTGGCCAAGGTTGTGAATGTTCCCTTCTCTTTGTCAGGCTCTGTTTTTCATAAGCCAGGAAAAAGAATTCAATCAGAAGGATTTTTTCCCCCAAAGTCCCATTTATTATTTTCCACCCAAGCAGTATTGGGCAAAAATCATATAGTATTACTTGTCCTGGATTCTCCGTGAAATATCTAACGTTTCAAACGTATGAAATTGTAGGCCCCTTCCCATCGTAGGAGGGGCCACAAAATGGATTTTTGTCCGGTGTCACAAA